AAAATTGAGAGACAAAATTCTATATCCATGTATGCAGAGGTGCTGGGGTAGAAAACACTGCTTCATTCAGGCTTCAGGTGAAGCTAGATGTATGACAAATCTGACTTTTCTTGTGTGATCAGGGGAACATGTTGTCATTGCACTGGATCCTGTTTCTAATGATGACTAGACCAGGTGGTTTGGTTTTGTAAAGAGCTATGAACAATTAAAAAGGTGTGCAAGGCACTGGCAGTGCCAGCTTTCAATGACTCCCCCCATCTTTGTGTGGGTGAAATGTTACAGGAGGGGAAAACAAAAGCAAAAACAGGCATCTTGGATAAAGCACACTCAGCCACTAGACAAGCACAGGCCTCGATCCTGCAGAAGCCAACTAGTTTTATACATACAAACAGTCTATGGAATAAAGTGTGCAGAAATTTACTGGAAGATGCCCTGAGAAGGGAAGTGGGAGTGAAGCAAGCTGGAGGAATGACTACAAAGTAGAGAGGAGTTAAGCACAGAGCAGTAGAAGTTCAGCCACTTGGCCGATCCATCAGGTCAGTGGATTACAGCTGGAGCATCATACCAGATAAAATAACAAGATGAGCCAAGTGATGGCAACCACAGGGAAGACGACCACCAGGAAGACTGAAAATTGGAACGATATTTTAATACCACCAAGCAGAGTGACAAAGCAGAAGAGGAAATATAATGTGATGAATGTAATTACTTACATCTGCCTGGGGACTGAATGAGTATTGTTACTTAATGCTTTTTTTGTGATTGTACTTTGGTTATTTTACAAGTAACTGAGCCCAAAGGAAACATGCCATGAAGCCCTTGACAAAGCAGTGGTTATCTGGCCAACAGAGATTAGGTGGAGAGACTGCAAATGAGTGAACATAAAGAATGTGTAAACTTACACATCCCAGGAAATAATAACTGGACAATCCCCTAAGGTGAGAGATGAATGGCTGCCAACATGAACCACTGGACATGCACCACAGACTTAGCCAGATGAGGGAGGTGATTGTCCTGCTCTACTCTGCACTTGAATGGCCTCACCACAAACCGTGTCTGCAGTTTTGGGCACCATAATATAAAATAGATATAAAGCTATTAGAGAACATCCAAAGAAGGGCTATGAAGATGGTGAAGGGCCTAGAGGGGAAGCCATATGAGGAACACCAGAAGTGATTTAGGTTGTTCAGCCTGGAGAAGAGTGAGGTGAGATCTCATCACAGTCTACAACTTCCTTTACAAAGGGAGACAGAGGGGCAGGCACTGACCTGTTCTAACTGGTGACCAATGACAGGACTCAAGGGAATGGCCTAAAATTGTGTCAGGGCGGTTTAGGTTAGATATTAGGAAAAGTTTTTTTTACCCTGAGGGTGGTTTGACACTGGAACAGGTTCCCCAGGGAAGCAGTTGCAGGACCAAGCCTGACAGAGTTTGGACAACACTCTCAGGCACATGGTGGGATTCTTGGGGCTCTCCTGTGCAGGGCCAGGAGCTGGACTTTGATGATCCTTGTGGGTCCCTTCCAACTCAGGATATTCTATGATTCAAATCTATGATTCTGTGACTTTAAATCTCACTGTAACAGGCCAAGAGACCATGCAAGAGCAAATGAAGAAGTCAGAAAAATCCTGCCCAACTTGCCTGTGACAATCTTGGGTGTGTTTGAGTTTTGATGCAGTTTCCTGAGCTCTTCAATTTGTGCTGCAGACTGTACTCAGCCACATCCCTGTGTCTGCTGCTCTGAGTACCTGCTTTTTCTAACTTAATGGCTGTATAATGGAAACTCCATGAACTTGGATGCAAACTGCAATCTTGCCTAAAAAGAGGCTTGTCACCTTGGTGGACTCCTGAGAGGAGGGTCTGAGATCAGGCAACAAAACCCATATCAGCCTGGCCCATGCTATGATGTTCCCCATCTGGAAGGTAGGACTGCTGGTCTCCAAGTACATGGTTTAGTCCTTAGCTCAGCACAGCGAGTTCCAGGCCAGGAATGGGAACCTTTTGGGGATCCTCATAAGATGTGTCCCTCTGCTAAGCCCCCACTCCTGGTGCCCCTAACAGCAAATGCACTTCTTCTCAGGCATATGCCTATGGTCATGGGACAAAACAAAGGCTACTTGCATGTAAAGATTTTACAAATTTGGTCACTGTGACCAAACTTTATTACTCATTTTATGGAACTGTGACAAAAGTTTAGGAATCAAACAACATGGGGATCACAGAGGCTATTATGTTTATTGTGCTGAACAGACTGTGATAATCCATTAAAGGAACATTTTCAACAAGCAAGCGATTTGAAGTACAATCATAGACAGCAACTCTACATGAAGAACAAAGCAAAAAGTTAGAAGACGCTCAAAAGCAAAAGTACACTGTAGTTAAACATCTTGAAGTGATTTTTTTTTCCTGCAAACACACCTCTCTTGCAGAAATGGTGGAAGAGTTACATGTCCAGTCATAGTTAGCAGTGACCAATAACAGCAAAGAACAGTCGTATAAAATTTATCTCCCACAAAAATAAACTATACATATAAAAAAATTTTATGATGTTCTCACTGAGTCAATGGCCACATGCAATTTTTCAGTCTGAAAAAATGAGGTATAGCAGGCCCTAAGAGGTAGTAATGTGTTTTGATTGTACTACAATATATAGAAAATGTATGATTCAGTTCATCAGAGTGGTAAGTCTCTCGGAGGTTGAAGAGTGACATACACCCAGCAATTATTTCTGTGTCATCCATCGAATACCGTGGTTTTAGAAAACGCAAAAAAACCCCCTTAAATCCTAAAAGGGACTTGCTAAGGCTTGATTCAATGCCCTTTGATGTCAGCAGAATTCCTTTTACTGCCTTAAAGTGACACTGGAATTGGCCTGTTAGAGCTACTGTATAGTTAGGATTTCTCTTTTACTTAATATTAACATGTCTAGTTGTAAGACTCCGATCAGCTCTTTCTCAGCAACTTCCACTACTGAACTCTCAGTCTTTCAAGGAGGTCTGCATTTCTTGACACTGCCTCTTGGAAGAAGCCAGTAAGTAGTTATCTTTAACTGCATTTGGCTCAGTACTAAAGCCATACCAAAGGATGCCTTCCTGAGAAACTACCCCGGCCCAGTTATTAATACAATGGTACAAAGTACTGACTAGGAAAGAGAGGAAGAAGGGAAATAAAACAGAAATAGAGAAAAATGAAATCGGAGGGAGGAGAGAGAGAAAGAAGGAACAACAAAAGTCAGAGAGGGGAGAATAAAAAACCTCTACATTAGAAGCATTTAAAATAAATCTGGCTGAAACATTACAAAATCACATATGTCTAAAATACATGAAAATACTTGTCAAGTATTTTCTTACAATCTACTAATTTTTTTTTTTAAACACATATTTGTGATTGCATTATGCAAAAGCTGAGCTTGCTGCTTTCCACCTACAAAGCTTCAAGTTTCTTTGAAGGTTTTTTTTGTTAGTTTTTTTTTTTAATATGAAAGTAATTTAAAATGTGTTCATTTTCCACAAGTTATTTTACAAAAATAGTTTTGAACTAGGGATTAGTTGCAGTCCTAACCGTTTCAAACATCTCAAAACTAATGCTGAAAGTAACAAGTTCATTCCATTTAAAGTCTGGAGGTAGGTCTTTGTCAATCAATTAGTCCATTCCTTTAAACAATTCATTTGAGGTACAAACTTGGACAGTAATATTTAAACATTACAGCTAAATTTTTTCTATGTCATGTAGTGTCACTGAAGAAAATTATCCCACAAACCTCTCAGCAATTCAGTACAAAAATATATTCAAGTTAACAGTACATTACACAGAAGTCTAGCAGAGAGTAGGGTAAGTACATAAAACAAAACAAAACAAAAAAAACCCAAAATCCACACAAAGAGAAAAAAACCCAAACAAATCAAGCGAAAAGAAAAACACATAGTCATGCTGAAACACAAAAAAAGACATTGCTTCCTTAACTGCAAATAATGTTGAAATAGAAAGAAAGGGAGAATGCAGATACTCATTATTATCTACCCAATAAAAATTTCCTGCATTGAATGTGTATAGCAGCATGTATTTATCAGTCTGTTGAGTTATTTGTAAAAAATCAGAGGTAGTATTGAATAGTGGGGTAATATTGCATCTGGTGCTAAAAGTGCTGCTTTGAATGAAAAGATGGAGAAATGCCACTGGCACAGAGGTGCTCAGTGAACCATCCTATGTCAAAATACATTGCTTAAGGTAATGCACGAGCTTAGTTGAGGTACATGGTGTTGGTTCTAACATTGTGACTGATGTGTAATGAGGAGATATTCAATTCTTTCAAAATACTGGTACAGGGTGAGGGGAATTAGTTAAAACAAAGCAAAAATCTGGATTATTTTTGTTCAGATAAATGTATGATTAATTTTTAGGTACCATTCTGTATGTTTTAAAACACTTTTATCGATAAAGACTTAGTTATTAATGGCATAAGAGAGTTTGGTGTCAGTCATTTTTGTTTCCACAGAAAATGCCTCACTCTATAGAGAGTCAACTCCCTGGCTTCCTATTATCCAGGTGATAAGGGTTGTTCATTTTGTTTACTACTATTTCTGCTGATATGTTTGTATCTGTAACCATACAACGTATCTTTGTCTTTCTTCCCTTTTGCAAAATGAAAGTACCATTTTTGTGTTGATTTCTTTCTTCTGATTACCAGCTGAATGAAGTGAAAGATCATCTTTCATTTTTTTCCTGAAATAACAGTAAGTCTTATCAAAAAAATAAAAAATCAAGTACAAGTCTACAAGAAGGTTACAAAAGAAAAAGAGTAGTATCTATCCTTATCTTTGGTGATCTAAAACAGGGAGTTCACTAAGTAGGGAGTGGGTTGCTGGAAGTGTCTGCAAGGCATAAGTGTTACAACACTCAGCCTTTCCTATTTCAATGCCCATTATAATGACTATGTTACAAGTTTCTTGTTTATATGCAGTGCAGTGAATGACATAAACCTGAAAACCTGATTTGGAGCTCTTCTGGACCCATTCACCCTTACTTAGCAACTCAAACAAACTATTAATAGGAAAAAAGAAAACAGTAATTAAAAGTTGCATCGTTAATCTGTGTCCCCTTTCTGTTACAGCAGTTTTTCACTAAACCTGGGACTGTGAAGGGATTACAAAGATGATTAGTCAAATCCTTTTTAAGGTTATGTGATTCCCCTCGCTTCCCCCCCGCCCCCCCTTTCAGGCAAAAGTGGAAAGATCATGGCAACAGAAAGTAAGTGGTCAAGGCAGTGTCTTCTCCCTTCAAAAGACTGCTGATGAGGTAGAAATTGCATGGTGCGGTGTCCTAGTCTTCCTCTGCAGACTCTTGTGAGGACGTTTCTTCAGTCTCTTCCTAGAATACACAAATAGGAATAATATATAATAATAATATGACCGTGTATCTTAAGCTGCTGCTTTACTGTTCCCTCATGCAGCTGACAATTACCTCCTGAGCTAATAAAATGCTCTTTACAGCTGCTGTGACACCTCAAGAAGCCACCTTGGGGAGGAGAGGAAGGTACCCTGCTCTCTGATCCCACCACTTTGCCTTGCCAGGTTTTTCTTCTACCCCAGGAGACGTCAAGAAAAAGTAATCTGTGCCATGCTCTGTCATAGGTCTCCTATGGCCAGCAAACATGGGCAACTAGAAAAAAAAAAAGCGTTTTGAGCAGGGATCCAATGTTAAGCTGTTGTTCTCCTTCTCCTCCTCATTGGCCCTTTTACTGCTTCATGTTTACCTTCAGCAAGCCTGACCAAATGTGATGCTCTTATCCTGATTTTTTTAATGAATGTGCAGTACCCTTCAGGACATGGGTGGTGAACTGGGGGCAATAAACATTTATAATAAAAGGGGCTGTCAGTGAAAAGTTGTTTTTTATCAAACACTGCACATCATTGCCTAAGACAGCACATGAAAAAGATCTATGAAGAAGAGGAATTTGCCTCCTCAGCCAACTGAGACCTTTGAAGAATGACCGCTTAAAACAGCTTATAACAGTCTTCATACTTTAATAGATTTGATTTTCCACATGGCTTCATTTTGTCTGGGTGGCTAACTGACACAATTTATAACTCTCTTCCTTTCCCAGGCCACTACAGTACACCATTCAGAAAAGCTTGCCTTAAAGCTTGCCTGCCTTATGCGACCAAACTTCCATTCATTAGTGTTTGAAACACCTCAGCTGTGAAGGGCTCCTAAATGCTACCATGTGTGACACTGCTGTGGAGGAGCAGCATCAAGGAAAAACACTGTGCTTTAATCACAGGCCACTGCTCACTGCAATCTTCTTTCATAAGGTTTTGACCTCCCCCCCACCTCACTACAAGAAAAGGCTGAAAAAAAAGCTGTAAATCCAGGGAACAAACATAACTATAAATGAATGGATGACAGCTTAAAAAATATAACCATAGCAGCATCAAGCCATGAGATTTCACACTGGTTTTGTTTAGTCTGCTTTGGGTTATGTGGGAAAAGTGAAAAGCATGAAGGAAATGCTCCCTCCTCTTCCTTCATGCCCCCACTCCTGCTAAAGCTTGGGCCTCAGATATTTAAGCCAGTAGGTTTATACCTCTTGACTGTGACCCTGGGGTACTATCTTGAGCACCAGACACAAAGAAAGATGTAGCATGATCAAAGCCATGGACAGAGGAAAGAGAGTAAAATCAAGTGCCAGCTGCCCTATGACACTGAATTTTCAATTAATACTTAAATTCCAGAGGACACTGATCTATCACAAGATGAACAATTTCTTCCTCACAATAACTTTTGTCCAGTTGTAGCAGGTTATATTCGCAGTGCTGCAAAAAAAAAAAAGATCCCCAACTCACAAAATGATCAAGTGAATTTTACTCTGTCCCCGGTGGCATGGGGCTGGGGGGATCTGAGCTCCCACCCCATTGAATCCAGTAACTGTTACAAGATTTCAGTCAAGAATAAAAATCGTATCTTCAGGCACCTAACAGAGGGCTGATTTGGGCTGCATGTGGAGAGACAGTACAAAATATGTTGGTTTGAGCCTTGGTAATTCAGAACTTGGAATGATCATGGAAAACCCCAGCTTTGCCTCCAAGCCAAGTATTTCAGTTAAAAATTACAACTGTGGGTTCTGTGCTCTTAACATAATACAGGTAGACATGTTTTGATATTTGATGATGATCATATGCTTAATTTCTTACAGCACTGTGGTCAGCCCCTGAGCCTCTGATTATTGTTTCCTGGAAGGCAGCAACACACGTGTGGGTACAGAGCGGCAGCTCTCTTTGTTTTATGCTTGGCTTGTCAGGAGGCTACTGAAACCTGATGAACTCATTTTCCATGAAGGTAGACTTCCAATCACAGTGTAAGAAGGATGGGGGAGAGGCAAAGTATATGGAAGGACATACTTCAAAGCCAAGCCAGCGTGGCCACAAGAGAACTCTTTTTAGTTAAAAAGCCATCCACTCTAGTGCTTTTTACTGTGAATCTCACAGTATTTTTTTTTCTTGTAGCCCCGCTGTAGTGACAAAGGAAATTAATGAGAAGCTCTTCCTTTATGCAATGTTCATGCAATGAAGGAAGAGTTGCTCTCATCTGCATACGTGCATGCAAATGTGTATACCTGTAGTACCTCGAAGAATGAGAAACAAAAAATTAAGATAACCCACCCAAATATTTAAATAATAAACTAATTATTAAAATATATTTGAGACTGGCAGATTTCAAATTCACATCAGTCTTGGGAAAGACTTTTTCATGAAGAAAAGCTGTCAAAGGGTTCAGATTGTTGTTCATTCCTTGCAAAAGTCTAAGATAGCTCAGTTACAGATGAGTGGTTTTAAACCAAACTATCATGTAAGTTTCTTGTCAAGACAACAGATGGAGACATGATTGCTGCTCTGAAGTGCTTACAGTTCAAACAAAGGGATAGTACCAATCAGACATATATGCATGGAGGGAGCCAAAGGAAGAGGTCAGTAGAGGAACTGAAAGAGAAAATACAAATGTATAAAGCAGGAAAAGAGAGGGATTTTTTGCACTTGTGAAAAACTGGTTGCGAATACCAGAAGGTTGTGCAGCTGTGATCCTCAACCCACTATCTAGCTCTACAGCACCCATACGCACACACACTTCCCAAAAGATGAAGGGGGCTAGGTGTTTTGAGAACTGTGCAACCTGTGGAAACTGAAAACCAGCTCTGTGCTGAGTCATTTCAGTAAAGTGCATTGCTTGGCAGTCAGGCACTGGGCACCTCAGGGGAAGGATGCTTTAGCATCAGAAGGCACCCCTAGGAACTTACAAGTCATCACAGATCCCCGTCAAGGTCAATGGCATAACCATGTATCATAGGGGGTCCCTGAGTCAAAAGTTGAAGGAGGAACTGGGGTGGGAGTCAAACACTTTGTAAATCCAGAAATACTTCTGATAAAGTTGAAGAGAAGGGAAAAAATTAGGAAGGAAAGCATGGTCATTAGACCAGACATCAGAAATCCAAGTCACTCAGTCAGAGCATGATAGCCATGCAGAACATAAATTCAGCAACACAAGAAGCTTCAGCCATGAAGCAAAGGTTTCAGGTTACATGGCAGCCTTAACTCAGGTTGTTCTCTCTTTTTAGTTGCATTCACTGTAGCATGGTGACATGTTAATTGAGCATAAGTCAACCCAATTTTGCCTTGAAGGGCTACTCCCCTGTTTTTTTGTTTTCTGCTGCAGCAAACTAGCAAGAGGCTGGGCTAGCAGACTGCAAAGAGAAACCTGAGAAAGCTACAAACCATGTCGAATCCAGCTAACAGGGCTGGATGGCCATGGCCATAGCCATGAAGAGCTCAGGGTGAATAGGATTAACACCTAAAGGGCAGGGTAAATACTCACATGCATAGCTCAGGCTTTATTCTTGCTTCTAAGACAATATCTCAGGTGACTTCCTATGCATCTGTGTATACATCCCCATACAAGTATCCTCAGAGACTGATTGACACAAAGACCTGCCACAGAAGCAGTTTTACTTGGCACATACTGTCCTTGGTCATCCAAGGGTGCCATGCATGGGTATGTTTATCCTGAGTTGCTACAGGTCATAGCATGATATTGTATGACAAACTGCAAGCTAGCACCCTGAGCTGTTTCCACCCTTAACTGCTATAATTGCCCTGTCAAACAGGGATGATAGGGAGCTGGTGTTTCTCCCAAAACAGAGCTGCAAGGCAGCTTTCTTCAAAGCTCCTATGTGCACAAATGTTTAACTGGTCTTTTCTTGAGTGGTATCACTGGCAAGGGGCTGGCAAATGAGGACACTAGCCTGGACCCTCAACTCTCACATATGTTGGACTCCAGCAGGAGGGAAAGGACATATGTTTTGCAATGACTCACAGAAGGTATCTGCCCTCAGAAGGGCTACTCTGTGGGGGACTGGTACCACTGTTGTTAGCCCTGATTTAACAGTGGTGAAGGTAACAAAAAGAACCAGGAGGCAGAACAGCAGGCTTCAGTTACGAGTACCTATTTGGGCTTGCCCAACACACGATTTTAAAATATGACAACCTTGGTGGCATCTGGTTGCCTGATTATAGGAGCCTGAGGCTGTTTTAGATGCCCTGGATATCTCATCTGGTAACCAGCAGATAAGCCAGAAAGGTGCTGGTCTCCTGTGCCATGCCCACCTGCTCTGTGTGGCTGCCTGTGATCCCTGCAGACACTCAGTGGGCACAGAACAACTGTGTTAAGATTTGTGGATCCATGAACCCTCTCCAGAGCTAATAAGTTCCATCTCTGCTTTATAAGTTTCTCCACTGTGGAAAAACAAAATGGTGTATACTGCAGAAATATGCAAAGTGACAACCACTAGCACATGCACTTCACAGGTTCCTGGGGTGCACTGAGAAGAGTGTGGCCGGTAGGTCGAGGGAGGTGATCCTCTCCCTCTACTTGGCCCTAGTGAAGCCACATCTGGAGTGCCGTGTCCAGTTCTGGGCTCCTCGGTACAAGAAAGAAAAGGAGCTACTGGAGACGGTCAAGCAGAGGGGAAGAAAGATAATTAAGGAACTGGAGCGTGTCTCTTATGAGGAGAGACTGAGGGAACGGGTCCTGTTTATTCTACAGAACAGAAGACTGAGAGGGCATCTCATTAATGCATATATATATCTCAAAGGCAGGTGTTGAGAAGACGGTGTCAGGCTCTTTTTGGTAGTGCCCAGCAACAGGACGAGGAGCACTTGCCATAAACTAAAATACAAGAAGTTTCACCTCAACATAAGAAGAACTTCTTTACTGTGAGAGTGGCAGGGCACTGGAACAGGCTGCCAAGGGAGGTCATGGAGTCTTCCTCTCTGGAGACATTCAAAACCCACCCAGTTGCATTCCTATGTAACCTGCTC